GATAAGATAAAGCATAAATAAAATTGAATGAAATACCTGTTTATAGCTCGCTGATTCAAATATCCTCTTTGGCTAGCTTTGCTCACATTGTCTTTCTCGGGAAGAATAACACGTAGACTTGCACATCTTTGAACCAATAACCAAGTTTAGAAAAAATATCTCGAAAACATTTTAAAAATCGATTCAAATATCGAGAAAATACTACAAACCCGAGCAAAATTGCAAAAACCTAAAGTTTTTTAAAGAAAACCAGGGGGGGGTGGAAATTGTAGCGGGCTCAGATCCGAGCCTGGTCAGTGGTAATTACCATGAGAAATACGGACCAGTTGTCATGGAGATGGCGTCAGCAAAGGCCGAAATCCGCCATGTTTTTGGCTTCACTTTTTTTTCCCGTGCAGGTCCTCCAGTAATATAGTATAGCTCAGTGGTGAAAACACTCCGCCCTTCGGGCGTCGTGTTTCCACACGTTCGGGCGTCGTGTTTCCACACGATTTCACGTTTTCCCAATTTCCACTCGTGTTGATATAACTATATTCCGTGTTGATACACGGAAAATGTTTTATATTTGTTAACTGAACAACATTGTTGATATTTTTAGACTTGTTGCAAGGTTGTTCCAACAAGTCCGATACAGTCATGATGCAACAAATATTGTCACAACCTTGTGTCGTCAACCTTGCAACGTTCTTGTATAAGGACAATGTGAATTTTCTATAGAGAGAAGACAGTTTCAACCACGTTTGTCCAAAATTATCATTTAAACATTCACCGTGCAACAAGGAGTTTCTAGAAAAATCTGAATGTCTGACGCTACACCTATATTGGTCTAGTCCTCGTTGCAGGAAACGGTCATGGGGAAATCCCGTGGTACTTGATCGAGAGAACTGGATTAAGTTTAACAATAATTCGCCCTCGACATTGTTGCATCACCGCCTATCAATTTAGGGATATTACGCGTTTGAGGGCGTTTTTGATCTTTTTGTATTTAACCCAAGTGTAAATTAATTTGTCTCGTCATGGTTTTGCCGTGTATATTTGGAAATGAACTAGTTTCTTTTATATCTATCACAACAAAAATAAGGTCATGTTTAAAATCTCTTCCTCTCGAGAATTCCTGCGCGAATATCACCATGGAATATCACCCACGGGTTTAGTTGAACAGTTTTGTTACCATGACGATATCACACCTACCGACGTCAGCGCCCAGCGTGTGATGACAGAGTACACAGGAGTTGTCGTGGGCGATGTCAGGGAGGATACTGTTGAAGTGACAATGAGACAGGGTTATTTATATTTTGATTAATGATGTACTATTAATAGTTGCGAAGACGCTCACTGTGTTTGGACGAGTTTGTGGTAGATTGGTTAGTACCCTGGATCAATAAAAGATATCCTTACTGGAATTCTAGTGAGAACAGTTTGGACGTGAGATCTATCAAGTATAAATAAAGTTAGTTTAGTTTAGGTTCCCTCCTGTAGTAACACTCGATCAATAAGAGATGACCCTTACTGGACCTCTAGGGAGAACAGTTTAGAACTAATATAGCTATCCAGTATCAATAAAGTTAGTTTAGTTTAGGTTTCCTTCTGTAGTAACACTGGATCAATGAGAGATCATCCTTACTGGACCTCTAGGAAGAGCAGTTTAGAACTTTAACTGACAGGTCACAGAGCTATCAAGTATAAATAAAGTTAGTTTAGTATAAGTTTCCTCCTGTAGTAACACTGGGTCAATAAGAGAAGATTCTTACTAGACCTCTAGGAAGAACAGTTTATAACTGATATAGCTATCCAGTATAAATAAAGTTAGTTTAGTTTAGGTTTCCTCCTGTAGTAGCACTGGATCAATAAGAGTTTATCCTTACTTGACCTCTAGGAAAAAACATTTTAAAACTGACAGAGCTATCAAGTACAAATAAAGTTACTTTAGTTTAAGTTTCCTCCTGTAGTAACACTGGATCAATAAGAGATGATCCTTACTTGACCTCTAGGAATAACAGTTTATAACTGACAGAGCTTCCAAGTATAAATAAAGTTAGTTTAGTTTAAGTTTCCTCCTGTAGTAACACTGGATCAATAAGAGATAATCCTTACTTGACCTCTAGGAATAACAGTTTATAACTGACAGAGCTATCAAGTATAAATAAAGCTAGTTTAATTTAAGTTCCCTCCTGTAGTAACACTGGATCAATAAGAGATGATCCTTACTTGACCTCTAGGAAGAACAGTTTAGAACTGACAGAGCTATCAAGTATAAATAAAGCTAGTTTAGTTTAAGTTTCCTCCTGTAGTAACACTGGATCAATAAGAGATGATCCTTACTGGACCTCTAGGGAGAACAGTTTAGAACTGACAGAGCTATCAAGTATAAATAAAGCTAGTTTAATTTAAGTTCCCTCCTGTAGTAACACTGGATCAATAAGAGATGATCCTTACTTGACCTCTAGGAAGAACAGTTTAGAACTAACAGAGCTATCAAGTATAAATAAAGCTAGTTTAGTTTAAGTTCCCTCCTGTAGTAACACTGGATCAATAAGAGATGATCCTTACTAGACCTCTAGGAAGAACAGTTTAGAACTGACAGAGCTATCAAGTATAAATAAAGCTAGTTTAGTTTAAGTTTCCTCCTGTAGTAACACTGGATCAATAAGAGATGATCCTTACTGGACCTCTAAAGAGAACAGTTCAGAACTAATAGAGCTATCCAGTATAAATAAAGTTAGTTTAGTTTAAGTTTCCTCCTGTAGTAACACTGGATCAATAAGAGATGATCCTTACTAGACCTCTAGGGAGAACAGTTTAGAACTGACAGAGCTATCAAGTATAAATAAAGCTAGTTTAGTTTAAGTTTCCTCCTGTAGTAACACTGGATCAATAAGAGATGATCCTTACTAGACCTCTAGGGAGAACAGTTTAGAACTGACAGAGCTATCAAGTATAAATAAAGCTAGTTTAGTTTAAGTTTCCTCCTGTAGTAACACTGGATCAATAAGAGATGATCCTTACTAGACCTCTAGGAAGAACAGTTTAGAACTGACAGAGCTATCAAGTATAAATAAAGTTAGTTTAGTTTAGGTTTCCTCCTGTAGTAACACTGGATCAATAAGAGATGATCCTTACTAGACCTCTAGGAAGAACAGTTTAGAACTGACAGAGCTATCAAGTATAAATAAAGTTAGTTTAGTTTAGGTTTCCTCCTGTAGTAACACTGGATCAATAAGAGATGATCCTTACTAGACCTCTAGGGAGAACAGTTCAGACCTGATAAAGCTGTCGGATCCAGTATAAATAAAGTTGGTTTAGTTAAGTTTTAGGTGAGGAGACACTGTCCTACTCTAAAAGAATGAGACAGTTCCCTCATTGTAGCTGAAATGGCAATTTCTAAGGTAATCCATATAAGTCAATGAATGAAAGCAAAATTCCATATTTCAAACTTTAAATCTTTATAAAAATATTCCAAATCTCATAATTTTGAAAACAAGTAACACATTTCCTAAATATTGTATTCTAACTCCATTTCTGTCATGTAAATTTATACACGACCACAGATTTGTTCACCTCTAAAGGAATCCTTTAAAATTAATCCTCCTCAGTTACTGTAATAATAATTTCTTAGGAAGTTTGCGATCCTCTTATCTTGAATCAGATGTGAATCATGTCATAAATTAATTTATAAATTATAAATAATTGTCTAACCCAAAACACAACGTTCTGCATTTAAAATATTAACTACTCTTGCTTGTAGAATTGGTACTAAATACAAACAGAGCTGTTTTATATCTTCTATAAATATTCAGTCTTAATTACATAATTAATCTAGCTAACAATCTAGCTGTCCCCACCATAAATTTGGTTAAAATCATCGAATTTCCCAACCCTTGTTTCCATTTAAAAAATGGCAGCAGAAAAAACGCGAAGAAAATAAAGTTCATCTGTGTCTTCTAAGCGGGATTAATTTGTCTTTTGTTCGTAATGGTCGATTTACGCACCGGAGTTGGGAAAGTATGGCATTAAACGTAAAACCACTGAACTAAAATGCCTTGCCAGCAGACAATTTTGCTAATAAATAGAAGATAAATTAAACATATTTCGAATATTAACATCTTCTAAACACAAGTATGAACTATTGAAAATTGAAGTGTTGTTTTGGCAATGACTTTTACAAATAAATTAATTTTTTCCTTCTTTTCAATAGCATATCTTACTTTCCTTTAAATCGTAAATATCGTCAACAAGTCGAGTGTTCGCACTGCTTGTCCCAAGCTGTCAACAAGTTTGGAACAAGTTGTTAACAGTTGTAACAACTTTGCCGATATTATCAGACTTGTTGAAAAGTTGTTCCAACAAGTCCGATACAGTCATGATATAACAATATTGTAACAACCTTATGTCGTCAGCCATGTAACATTCTTGTTATATCATGACTGAATCAGACTTGTTAGAAAAACCTTGTAACAAGTCTGATAATGCCATCAAGCTTGTTACAAGTCGTTAACAACTTGTTCCAAACTTGTTGCAACAACTGGGAACAAGCAGTGCGAACACAACTTGTCGACAGCTTGTGAACAGATTTGTAACAACTTGTTTTCAGACCTGGAACAACTTGTGCGTTTTTACGGTGTGTATTTCATCTTGTGTTGACGGATGTTCTCGTCAGACGGATGATCCTCGTATAACTTTTGGGGCATATTTCTCCCCGCCCGAACCGCGAGTCGCGGGCGATATATCGATGATAATAACCAAACCTAGGGCTTGGACATATTATTTTAATATTATAAGAAATATCCAAGATATCCTTTAGTATGTAGGTAGTCCACACACGATGGTGCTGAACTATAAATATCAGCTTGCGCAGCCCGACACATCGTTTGCTGTTCTTCTGTGGACTTCGGGTCGCAAGGCGCGTGCGGGTGGTACACGTGCACGAGGCCTGGATCTGGCGCGCGAAATATCTCTATATCAGACCTCTTTAAGAACTTCTCGTATAAATCTACGTCCTCCAAACCCCATCCGAGTAAACCCGTGTTCAATCCTCCCGAGTCATTAATGTCCTTAGCGTACGCGCAGACTGGTCCAAAACTGTACCACCTCCAAAAACCCGCTTCTTTCGTATAGTAATAATGACCCGGATGTCTTTTGTTCGCGAAAGTAATCTTGGGATTGAACTGGCTAAACATGACGGGGAAATACGCGCGCTTTCCAAGCACCGCGTTCGCGCGACATCGGTCCGCAAACTCGCGTCGGAAGACCAAGTCGACGTCGCAAAAATATAGAAGGGAATTATTCCCGAAATAATCTGTTCCAATTTGCAGACCGACCGCTCTCTTGAACGGCCCTTTTACATCCAGCCATTTCATTTCGACTGATGGATACTTCTTCACGTACTGGTCAAATACTTTCTTTTGTTCGACAGATGATGCCACGTCCGGAAAATAGACGACAAGTAATTTCACTGGATCATTATTCAAAATAAAGTCTTCTTCAAAACTCCTTAAAAACCTTTTGAAGTTTTCGAGTCTTTCCATTAGCGGAACTATAAAATGTAGCGGGATTTTTGAGACACCGTAGTTTTCTTCGGGTTTTATAATAAATTTTCCAAACGTTTGGCGTATTCGCACGGTGCGACGCATGCGCGTCACCTTCGCCCCTTGGTTGGGGTCACGTGTTTGGTATTTTGTCCCAAGCTCGACCCAAAACTCCGTGCCTGTCAGGGGATCGACGCGCATGTAGCCATTATGCCATTTGTCAAAGCTGATTTTCTCGTATAGATTCGATTCTCCGTCGCGAAGTAGAATTTCTTTCGAGAAATCTACGACTTTTGTCATTGCCGCTTCGGTGCCATCGTGAATGTAACGGAGTGGCGGTTTGTCGGTTAAAGCCCAAACTTTCGAAAAGTCGAAGGACTCCCAAGGTTGCGAGCTATTTCTTGCGTTGCGATGCGATCTGTCGTTGTGATCTGACAGAAGTTTCCGGCTGTTCGTCCAGTGCATGCTTCCTTTGAGGAACGGCTCGATGTTTTCTATAGTGCGATCCAACGAACGTTTTCGTATGAGTAAGCGATGTATGTGTTGTGTACTGAAGAAAACGTGCATACGTCTCATGTAAGCTGGGTCCTTCACCGGATGAAAACTAATGCCTTTGATGTATTCGATGGCGTCCAGGGAGCCGTGGTAGGCTTCCATGGGCTTCTCGTACACTTGACGGAAAAGTTCTTTGGCCTAGAAAAATAAAGCGGTTGACATAAATAGTAATGCCAGTGTATGAAGGGACGAAATTTTCGACAAGAAATTTTCAGCCCCCTGGCGATCTTTCTACATTCCTGAGTACATTATCAGAATGAGAAAATTGAATGTTTTAGGATTCGGATTAGCTTTGAAACATGGTCAATAGATAATTAAGAAGGCTGGGGACGTCGATGCAGACATAATAAACATCCCGTGTGTATTGTATTTTCACCAGAGCAACCACTAGCTATGTTCTCATTTAAACCATTGTGTAATATCACGACTGGGTAAATTAAACCAACACTGACTGGCACTGCTATTGGTTGGTTCGGCGAAAGTACAATACACTCGAGGCGATGAGCCAACCATTTCTTGCATCATGAGGTATGTTATGTCTGCATCGAGTTCCCCAACCTTCCAATTCTATTGATTATGTTTGGAATTAGGATTGTAAGGTTAAATAAAGATATTGTATGTAGTGTTGCCTCAGTGTATTTGAAAGTTTATAACTAGAATCGACTAGAGACTTGCTCAATGTCATGCAGCGTTTCTGAAGTTTGAAATGGACCATCTGATGCCCCCACAACACTGCATGATTGAAACTCCCACCGAGAATGGTTTTGTCAGCTGTGGGCGGGCCACTTATATCTGTAGGCTCGTCCCTCCCTCCCCTACACTTTCAATGCCAATGACAAAGTTCAACTGATCATTGCGACAATTAGCAAACCCTTTTGAAGTCGATGTTTTTCAGACAAAATTAAGACGTTCATGCTAAGTTTTTCTGCATTTACATTCTTATTTCAAAGTGCGTGACTATGCCATGTTGATTAACAGACAATTACATAAAATTGCGCAGTTTAAATAATTAAAGATAATTTGCATCCTTGGAGAAGTGAACACTCTTAAAGGCATCTTGATAATTTGGCAATTTGGCAAATCTCTCGTTTTGATTAATTATCGAATTTAATATCCTCATGCAAGGCAAGCTGTTGCCTGATCTGAAATTTAAAAACTATATATAGATATTTACATACACCGTACACTAGTATCACCGTATAGTACTTATACAACATGAATTTGCGGTTAGATCTTAATTTTTTTTATTGGAGGCAATTAAATAAAATTGAGGGATGCAGTTTAATGTTCTCCTATATTGTGTCAATATAAGTTCTAAACCCTTGAGCCCCATCTTGTCCGCTCTGGGCTGGCCATACTTTCAATGCCAATGGCAAAGTTCGATTATATTGGGACGATTTAAAGCTTTCTGAAATGTAAGAACAGTAACTCCGAATAACATTTTTGTTTCGATTTATTGAATCTACGTTTCGACTAGATTGTAGTCATCTTCAGGATAAAAGATTGAGAAAATATCCTGAAGATGACATGAAAAAATATCCTAAAGATGATATCCTGAAGATGACTATACAATCTGGTCGAGACGTAGATTCAATAAATCAAAACAAAAATGTTATACGGAGTTAATGTTCTTTTGTATTTTATGCCATGTTGATTAACACACAGGTGCATTAAATTGCGCATGCAGTTTTAAAATAATTAAAGATAATTTTCATTCCTTAGAGAAGTGTACACTCTAAAGGCATCTTGATAATTTGGCAATTTAGCTGAAATTGCCAAATTCTTAGCACCTTGTCCATTGTGGGCTGGTTATACTTTCAATGCCAACGGCAAAAATGCAAAATTCGATTGTTGGAGCGATTTAAAGCCTTCCAAAATGTTCTTAATGTTTCTCGCGGACAAAACGAAGACGTCCCCATGCAACATTTTTCTGCTTCTAAATTTTTATTTGAAAGTTCGTGATCATTCCAAATTTGCCATGCATGTTGATCAACAGACTGATAAATTGCGCAATTAAATGTGTAGGCAATTTGCATTATTTGCATAGAGAAGTGATACTCGGCCAGAGGCATTTTGATGATTGTAGAAAGATACTCTTTTACCATTTTTTTCATATCTTGCTTACTTCTACAAATATTTTGATCGAAAGGAATGAAATGTCCGCCATCTTCAAATTTTTGTAGATATGCATCTCGCGTCACAACAGGGGTCACGCAATATTTTTATCTAGACAACCACTAATCATTTTGCACTCAAAACTATACTCTGTCTGCCCTTCGAAATATCAAGATCACTCAAAACCTTTAAAACATCTACCAATCAATATTTGGTCAGCGACGAATACTTTTATATGGTTAATCCCTGTTGTGACGTCACCAAAACTACCGTTAATGAGATCAAAAATTTATCCAAGATATGGCGGACATCTCATTACTTCAAGTGAAAATATTTCAAGAACCATAGAACTAAGCAAGATATGAAAATTCAGTAAAAGAAGTTAATATATCGTTTCAAAAGTTTTTTCAAATGAGAAAATAAAACTTTTTATACAAATAATCATATATGGGCTAGTCAATTCCAAAGGTCGTAGGGCGATTCCCACTGTGGCCGGGCATATTTTTCAAAGTCGCCCGGTGTGGATATACACTCAGAGGAACATCACAAACATCATATATATAGCGTGTATATAACGCCCAAATCCTGATATCTTGATAAGGTCAAATAAAAAAAAATACTTGGTTAGCGTCATCGCCCCACCTGTCGATTTTTGCCACCTCTGAATTTTTAAAAAAATTTTTTATGTAAATCTCTTCGTTTTAATTACAGTTTAAAACAGTTTAATATTTGAAATTTTACTATTAAAAAATTTTAAAAACGAGTAAAAAATTTAAAAAAAGCAAGTTTTTTTTTATTTGGCCTAATTTGGCATTCTTTATCTCCCCAAACTATATAATTAATAATAGCTGCAATATTTGTTCCCCTATGTAAGTGGTAAATCCTAATATGGCGATAGATCGGAAATACCATTTTCATTTTTTAAAACAAAGAGACAGGCACACTCGAATCTTCCATTTGTAAAACGCTTCTATACAGTTTAATCAGTTATGCGTGTTAGTTTGCATCATCTGGGGACGGCAGTAATTTATGTGTGTAATTGTGCAGTATGCCCATGATGAACTGTTTGGCAAAATTGCCAATGGCAATGCTTGAAATAGAACGTCGAGACAATAGCGAAACTCTCATAAAAGCCTAGAACAATGCTATTCTTCTTGTACAATTTGTTCACCCTCATCAATTTCGAACAACAAGTCGCGTCTGTGAGTTAATCTTGAATCTTTCTGGAATCTGATTTTGAAGCCTAGCAAGTTTGAAAGAATAACCGGCAGCAGTTGAAATGCAGAGACAACCTGCTCTTCTAAGTTTTGAGATATATTTCGTTTTGCTTTCGCTTTGTATATACGTCTTAATTTTACGCCATTTATTCCTGATTTATTTTAATTTTGGGAAAGGTAATATAGAACCTCTACATGCGTCTGGGATCTCTCTTTCGTGGCTTACTTATCATAAGCATTATTTATTTAATGGATTTCTTATATCTCCAAAGGTGGCTGGAAAGTATAAACCATGTCGTGAAATATTATATATTAGGTGCGCGCATATAATGGTGGGTTGTTTTGCGATCTTTTGTGATGTCGATCCATCGGAGAAGTCCCCCCCCCCCTCCCTCTACATGCTAAATACAATAGTACTTTTACTTTTTACTTCAAGTATTTTTTAAGTCGTCAAAACTTTCTCTTTTTTTTGTTTTTTAATAACTACCCTAGCTATAGAACGGCTTATGAATGCGACACCATATGGCATATGACTGCATAGCAATGCCCACAGGCTATACACCGTTTTATTCGTCATAATTATTAAATTACTTCTTAATTGAAACTAAAAGACTTATTATAATAAGTCTTTTAGTTTCAATTAAGAAGTAATTTAATAATTATGACGAATAAAACGGTGTATAGCCTGTGGGCATTGCTATGCAGTCATATGGCGTCGCATTCATAAGCATTCTATAGATAATAATTTCAGCACTTCAAAAAGTCTTCATGCATTGCATGGTATATTCTGTATATTCATTTGGGCTGTAATTAAAATTAAAAATACCCCAGAAATGCTACAATTATATTTAACAATACATGTCCATTGGACGTGATCTAATCTGGTTTCGCATCTAAATAGTCTTTGTCTTTGATACCTTCCAAAATAATCAATCGACATAATAATTAAAGATAATCAAGTATTATCAAGACTTAAAACTATATATAGCCAAACGCCAATTGCAAGCAAACAGCCAAAAGGCTGGAAGAATTCTTTTACCAGCACGGACATCCACTCGAAGAGTTCTTCAATTAATAATCAGTTTATTCCTTTAGTTCTTTCATAATAATATAATTGACAAGTATAATTATCAGTAATCCTTCACAGATATAGTCGTTTAAGAACCTCAAAAGGATGCCACAACAGCCTGCGTTTCATCCAAGAGGAATCATCAGGCGATTCCTCTTGGATGAAACAGGGCTGTTATGCATGGCAACCGTTTGAGGTAAAATGACTATTTCTCCTCTATCTATTTTTATGAATTTTTATGATTTTTTTTTTCTCTATCTATTTTTATGATATCGAGCGGCAATCTTTGACATTTCGTGAACCAAACCACATTTGTATATATACAGTATATATACGCAGTATATGATCACTTAATTAATTATTTTAACTATAGTAAATTATTTTCGTTAAAAGCTTTATTTCGCCAACGACAATTATACTGACAATTTTCTCAGTCACGGCGTTCGGACGTGTGTTACTACGTGTTTGAAAAAGTTCCCATGCAGAATTGGATCGACATTGGAATTCACCATTGTCTTTGATTGTTATCATTTTTCCACTCTCTTATTCAGTGGCAAGTCTGGCCCAATCGATAAAATCATTCTATTTTGTCATTCCAACTTGTACCAAGTTTGATGGCATTATCATGCAGGCTTGTTACAAGGTTGTTCTAATAAGTCTGATACAGTCATGATATAACAAGAATGTTGCAAGGTTGACGACACAAGGTTGTAACAATATTGTTACATCAAGACTGTGTAGCATGCAGTTTACACACAAAAATCTCGCATCTTGCAACAAGTCTGCCAACAAGCCGTCAACAAGATGTATCTAGTCGCACTGTTTGTCACAAGTTGTCAACGGGTTTGGAACAACTTGTTGACAACTTGTAACAACCTTGTCGAAACTATCAGACTTGTTGCAAGGTTGTTCTGACAAGTCCGTTACATGCTTGGTACTAGAAGATTGCTACAACCTTATGTTGACAACCTTGTAACATCCTTGTTATATCATGGCTGTATAACAAACTTGTTAGCACAGTCTTAATTGTAACAAGTCTGATATAATGACATCAAGCTTGTTACAAGTTGTTAACAGCTTCTTCCAAACTTGTTACAACAAACTGGGAACAAGCAGTGCGAACACAACTTGTTGACAGCTTGTGAACAGACTTGTTTGCAGACTTGTTACAATAAGCTGTGCGTTTTTACGTGTTGTTGGTATGCCGATTTGCTAACAAGATGTGCGATTTTTGCGCGCGTAGACATAACTCAAAATCACACTGTGAAAAGAAAAAAAATTCTTTCGTTGAATGGAATTTGAATTCTAAAATCTTATAAACCGTTTCATCACGAGGAACATTTTGGCAAACGGGTTAAAATTAGATATAAATTGAAATTTTATTCCCTAATTTAAATCAAGGCCACATAAAATAAATTCCTTGATTCTCATCACTACACTTTGAAAATGTCAAAGAGGCGGGAGGTTTATATTTTATATTTTATATTCATATAATTTAATATATATATCAATAAATAAAAGTGTCACAAACTGAACTGCCCTTGAACTGAATGCGAAGTTCCGTTAAAATGCAATGAAATTTCTTTCAAGGTTCTATTTGTTTGAAATTGGCAGTTTAAAATGGCACTATAAAAACCCAATATAAAATATAAAAAACTTAACTGTCTTGAAATATTTTGTTGGGCGGTACATTTATATTGTATAACAAAATATAAAAAAATTTCACGCGGCTCTTAAAATACAGTCGGGCGGTGATGAGAATCAAGGAATTTATTTTATGTGGCCCAAGATTTAATTGTATGTGAACCGATCATGGGTCATGCATTATGCATGCTTTGTAGCGTGCATTAGGAACTTTTTGTGTGAGAAGAGACTCTTCTTGAATGTACCAAGTGGTTTTAAAGCACTCTGTTTAGCCCGAATGAAAGAAAATCGTTGTGTCTACCGGAAATCAAATTAACGGCCTCGCATTTTTTCTATACATACATACGTCGTTTGACGTATATAACTGCTACGACATATGCAAAACAAACATTGCCAAAATAATGGAAAAGTATGCTTTTGAAACTCCTTGAGGCTCCCTTTAGTTAAGACCGACAAAATATATCCTATATATAGTGTTTCGAGTCTTTTCAATTCCTTACCTAGTGATCTAAAAACTATTGAAAATTATACGGTTTCATCTTTCACAATAAAACTTAAAAGAGTTCTTTCTCCAATTGAACTACAAAGTACAACATGTGGATGAATTTTCCTACGCTATATGCAAACATGGCGGCTTTGTCAATGCTTTGGTAACAGGTCACAAAACATGTACAGTCCAATATATCGTTATATATAGTATATTTATGAGGAACATGGCAGGGACCGCTAACAGGGGGCGGGGGGAGGATGTCCCCCCCGCCCCCACTTTTTCGATGGATAAAATTCAGCCTGCCTGCGTGGCATACCTCCCGTGCTATCCTGCCCCCCGTTTTCAACAGGCTCCGCGGTCCCCGCGATAACACGTTGTTGGAACAACTTGTAACAAGTTGGTTGAGCTCAACAACCTTGTCGCAAGTTGCCAACAAGCTCCCAGTTGTTGTAACAAGTTTGGAACAAGCTGTTAACAAAAAAGCTTGATGGCTTTATCAAACTTGTTGCAACGTCTGATACGGTCATGATATAACAAGAATGTTACAAGGTTGTAACAATATTGTTATATCATGACTGTATCGGACTTGTTGGAACAACCTTGCAACAAGTCTGATAATATCAATAAGGTTGTTACAAGTTGTTAACAGCTTGTTCCAAACTTGACAACTTGGGACAAGCAGTGCGAACACAACTTGTTGGCAGCCTTGTTACAAGATGCGAGATTTTTACACACCGTAAAAACGCACAAGTTGTGACAGGTCTGCAAACAAGTCTGTTGACAAACTGTCGACAAGTTGTGTTCGCACTGCTTGTTCCCAGTTGTTGGAACAAGTTTGGGAACAAGCTGTTAACAACTTGTAACAAGCTTGATGGAATTATCAGACTTGTTACAAGGATGTTCTAACAAGTCTGATACAGTCATGATATAACAAGAATGTTTTCCAGGTTGACTGACGACACAAGATTGTAACATTACTGCTATATCATTCATTACTGTATCGGACTTGTTGGAACAACCTTGCTACAAGTCTGATAATATCAACAAGGTTGTTACAAATTGTTAACAGCTTGTTCCAAATTTGTTGACAACTTGTGACAAACAGTGCGAAGACAACTTGTTGGCAGTTTGTTGACAAACTTGTTACAAGATCGGAGATTTTTGCGTGTGTATGCAAAGTTCAAAAGGCGCATTCGAACATCGACCACGTGCAAAGCACATGCAGGCGAAAGAATGCCTCATGCGTCATATGCGTAGATCCGCAATATTCTGATTATATTCAACTGGATTTTTTTTTTTTTGAATAACATTGCAATTACGGACTAAGGGCCTGTTCATATGATCCCGCTTACCGGGACGTCTCGCTTACCGAGACGAATATTTCCGTGCGTTCATATGGAATATTTCGTCCCGCTTGCCGAGATGAAATTACATTGTAGTTCTATAATTAGCGTATGCAAAACTTCTACATTTCAGTCAAGTAACACAAATACTTAGCGATTTTAGTGTTTTTCTTCGTTTATTTACTAGAAAAAGTATTGCTTCAGGTGCTTATTTAATACTTGTTTACAAAACAAACATAAAACCAAGTAAAAAGTGTTAAATTAAACCGGCAAGACTTGTTTGACTTCATCCCGGTAAGCGGGCTGGCGTGTTCATATGGAAAATTTTTTATCCCGCCTACCTATGATCTCGGCAAATTCAAACGAGATCTCGGCAAGCGGGCCAGCTCGCTTTCTCATATGAACAGGATCATATGAACAGGCCCTAAAAATGATATTTATAGATGACCTTAGATCAAATTATTTAAATTTAATTGAAATATTTAATATTGCTTCTAGTAATCTTGTGGAATTCATAATATATCACGTATACACCCAGCTGAGTTTATACTTAGAAAATGCCAATGTAATATTAATGTTTATAAATCGTCGAAATGAATTTAATAATATTGTAAAAGTAGGGTAGGAATATTACGAAGTTTAACCACATTAAACACCTATAAAATTTTTGCTTTCACTTTAACAATTATGCATGTTTTCTCGACCATATAATTTTATCAAAAATTGATCCTATAATCCTAATAAAAACTTATGCAAAAATAATCAAATTTCAATATAAGCGATTTATTAAATTCGTCGTTTTCCCAGCTTCGAGCGACTTTTTTAGAGTTGGCTAATTATTTTGTGATAAAATCTTGATTAATATCGCCTTTAAAACAAACAAAGTGCCGAATGCCGATAAATTTGTGCCCTATACATTGTAATTTTGTGCCCTATACATTGTCAGAGGTCATGAGATATTTTAAAATATAGACCATGCCGAACGAATTCGAATGTGTTCTAATAGATATAAATGTTGCAATGAGAACGTTCTAATTCTAAAAAGGTTGCAATCATAATATTATATAATGTGGCAATGAGCGAGGCAATAAATATACATGCTAAAACAATAATCAAACTCCCGGGGCAATTGATACTTAAATCAGAAAATTACAAAATAGTTAGAAGCTATACCGTCGGTTTACCTACCTCAAACCCCCAGGGGCACATAACACCGCCAAATTGCCGTAAACACCGGCCTATTTCTACATCTTCGTGATACGAGGCTGTAGTATTTAAACAATACACTGCATTTGGTCCAACGTTTCGCAAGACACTTGAAGTCATCATAATACCGGGCCCGCCAAGACAAAAATTATCATCTCTGCCCAAACCGAGTTTTCCAATTTCTTCCTTTTTCCCCGTGCCCGGCTGCCCGATAACTAGGTCTTCAGCGCTATCAAATTTCATCAGATATAATCGTAGTTTATCAGTCCGTAAATAAACATCATCGTCGGCTCTCATAAACCACTCATATTTATCAACAAAATGCTCGTAGACGTACTCAAGCATTTTGAATGCCTTTGTCTGTGGCGGGTAAACATCATCGGGCACATCAAGCTCGATGATTGGTAAGTATTTTGTATCATCTGTCCTGTTAATATGCCCAGTGAAGAACGCCAATTTGCCTGGCACTTCCTTGCCCCACGTTTCCCAAACGCCGCGAGCTCTCGTGTTAAGATATTTTTGTGAACTCATTACGGAAATAAATAAGAAGCCTTTGGTATGAAACTCGTCTCGTATCGCATTCGGTCGAGCTAAATTGTGAGCAGCATTGCTCACACGTGTTCTGGCAACGTACAAGCATCTCAAAGGTGGGAAACGCGCGTACCTACTAGTCCATACACTGAATGTGAAACTGACCACAATTCCAAGGAAGACCAGAGCAAACACTCTGGTCTTCTTGCTCTGGCCCATGGTTTCAAAAAGCTGCCCAAATTTACGACGCCGTATCGTCGACAGCGTTGGTGTCCGAACTTGAACATGAGTCTGACATTGTACGGAGTCGGTTGGTATGTAATTCATACAACGTTTTTAACCAATATCACACATACAGCCGGTTTTGTTCATGGTAAGTTATCATGCATTTCAAGCCCCACTGGCATTGTTGTGCAAATGAGCATCGCTTTATTATTACGAGTGGGAGTCTTGCATTTTTTTCACGGTTTGAGTCACCCATAATGCACAAGAGAGTTGCCAGCTATATGTGTACCTGCGTATGTACGGGCGCTATTTCAAGGCATTTTTTTGGGCATTTGCCCCACTGGGCCCCTTCCTCTGCCCCACCATTGAAGAAAAAAAATGGCCTATTGCCCCAAAACCAGGGCCCTTAGGACAAGAAGTTTAAAAAACAAAATTTGTTGGTGAGATATACTTAAATTTATCAGTTGTGTTTGAATGTTTAGAATGTTTGTTTTGAGAAGCTGAGATTTTTTTAAAATGTGTTCTCAGAATACAGGAAATGCTATTTCAGAGACCCAAATTCTCGGCTCACACCTTCGGCGATCACATACTATCCCGGAAGGAGGGCAAGGAAAATGGCCCTTTGGCAGTTTGCCCCACCATTGAAGAAACCTTTAAAAATGCACTGCGCTATTTTAAGCTATTCCGAAGAAGTGAATCACTATAGTCTATGCACAATCTATTTAGAAGCTATCGGTTTTTGTATAGTGTATTTATGCACACCTTTTAAGGAATAGCATTAGTTTTATATTTGCCGAGGCAACCAAGGGCAAGGCGGTAAAGTGTCCCAACTACGTTTCAATTAACTAAATAAAATGCAAAGCATTTAGAACAGCTAATTAACGAAGGTCTGGACCTTGCTAGCTGGAACTGCAGCGAACAATATGCGAAGAAGTGATGGACGATTATGCTGAACATCCAGTGTTTTTTTATTTATTTAAATTTTAGTTCTACTGAAAGATAATCATTAAATAAACTATATAACCATCATTAAATTAACCACTTCAAAAATACTTGTGTGTTGATTACACGTAAACTCGCTTTATGTGGTTATAAAAAGCCTGATAAAATACCTTTTATACAGAACTGATAGAGGTATCCAGTATTGATTAGGTTAATTTAGTAGTGGAGTTTAGTTAAATTGGATTGCAGTAAGCTTCATTGCATGCATGGTAGGGTATAAGTATGTCCATTAATTTCTAAAGATTAAATACTCCATAAAATGAGAAAAAATTTTCACAATGGATATAAGCAATTTCAAGAGCTTATTACCTCACAAAGAAAATGCTAGGTCCTAAACTTATCATTAAAAAAGAAATTAAGCAAATTTATTCAGTTCTTGATTGTTCCATCCTCCAACAAAAATTCTCCTGCATTTTATTGCAAATTTGAACTACAGTATAAAGTTCATATGTTCCAGGGTTGCTAATGAGACAACCGCAGAAAAAAATCCGTTTTGTTTGGCACTTAGAGTCACAACTGGAAGCTCTCTTGTCACATGAATCTGAGGTGAAATTATAACTGAGACAATTGCTTAGTGCGGGTATCGAACTGACCATTAATTGTGCCAGCAATTTGAGTCAGGAAATATTCATGTGTGTTGCTTTGACGCTTTTTTAAACCGTTCTTTCATGGGTTTTTTATGGTCTTTATAGACTTTAAGGTAGTTTATTTGGCCTATAATTAAAGATCTTTTGAAAAGTTGATATGAAAAGCAACAATGGCAGATTACATAACGTGAATCTTAACATGACAAAAGCAAAGACTAATCCTTCAGTATACAATATCAAACAATGCTGTCAAGCCGTGAATTTCAGTAGACCTCCTGCGCGAGCGTTTCAGGAATTCAGCCTATCATTAAAAGACACCTCACTATAGACAGTGCAAGCATGATGGATCATTGAGATCATAGTGCTTAACTTTAAAAGAAAACCAGTTATCTGTCTTCGCTGGCGAATATATGAAATACAGGGTGTCCCAGAAACCCTCAAACTATATCGAAATAACGAATTGTTGACTGTTAGAATTTGAATGCCCCAGCACTCTGTTGAACTCGCAAGTACATAAAAGCTTGACATAAGTAAATTTTATGCTGAAAAAAACTGTTTAAGAAGCTGCTTAAATCCCCAAGAGCAGGAAATCGTGCGCCTTACCAAGATATCTTAATTTCTTAATAAGTCAATATTTAATATATGCACCCTGTCAATATTTTACGCATCTTTGCGTTCTGCCTAGTGCTAGGGCATTCAAATTCTAACAATACGTTATTTCAATAGTTTTCGGTGGTGTTTTGGGACACCGTGTATGTAAACATGTAGGGTATGTAGTGAAACAATTTAGTATCAATTATAGCCCCCGTAAGTGTCAATCATTTGAAGGTAACCAACTTACTGTTGCACCATGAAAGACACTTAACTTAATTAAACTCAGCATGCAGCTTTGCATAGCGGCATATATAATTTTGGGTCGATTTGCATAATAATTAATTTCTATAATGAACCAATTTGACTGAATCGTTGCACATTCCAATGTATCCCGAACGTCATTAAGGCAGCGTTTACACTGTACCGTTTTCGTAGCGTTCTCGTATTGTTCTTAATCCTCAAGGGAACGCAAGACAATAGTCTAGTTCTCTCGAACAATACGAGAACGCTACGAAAACGGTACAGTGTAAACGCTGCCTAAGTTTCCAGTTCCTTCAAGGCTAAGGTCAGGTAGCGTTTTTAGCTGCAGATTTTTTAGGCAACATTTATAGGAATATACGCGCAACATAGGAATACGCGGAACTGTTTTATATCGTGCTGTACATGGTATGGTAGCCAACTTTACTTTAAACGTAGTGACTCTTCCAAAACCAAACACCGGATGCTAAATGTTTCCACCACAACAAGTATTTCTTGTCAAAGGCAAGTCAATTGCATATAGTGAACAATTTAGCTGTCTCTGGTAGCCTTCTACAAGTAAGGTTCCTGTGCCGCAGTCGAGCTGGTGTAGTTTTCGTTTGATTTATGTAGTTTCTCAGCTTAGTTCATTAATTACGATATTGCTGCTTCATAAAATTGCGAGGGTGTGATCATTACACATTTATCATGCACCGTTTATAGTCTATAATTGCTATGCGTCGGCAGTAAAGTCCCCTTAATGATGCTTTTTTTTTTTCAATAAAAACCTGAGCAAAGATTAACTGTGCGTAAATGTTGCCAGGGGCATTAGCCCACGATAAAGGCGTAGGTGTTGTGAGCCAGTCAGCATCATGCATATGCTTCTTTCATCTTTGTGTCAGATTCCAGCATTTAGTTTAGTAAGAGATGATCCTTACTGGATTTCTAGGAAGAACAGTTTAGAACTGATAGAGCTATCCAGTCTAAATAAAGTTAGTTTAGTTTAGGTTTCCTCCTGTAGTAACACTGGATCAATAAGAGATGATCCTTACTGGACCTCTACGGTTTAGAACTGATAGAGCTATCCAGTCTAAATAAAGTTAGTTTAGTTTAGGTTTCCTCCTGTAGTAACACTGGATCAATAAGAGATGATCCTTACTGGACCTCTAGGAAGAACAATTTAGAATTGATAGAGCTATCCAGTCTAAATAAAGTTAGTTTAGTTTAGGTTTCCTCATGTAGTAACATTGGATCAATAAGAGATGATCCTTACTGGACTTCTAGGAAGAACAGTTTAGAACTGATAGAGCTATCCAGTCTAAATAAAGTTAGTTTAGTTTAGGTTTCCTCTTGTAGTAACATTGGATCAATAAGAGATGATCCTTACTGGACTTCTAGGAAGAACAGTTTAGAACTGATAGAGCTATCCAGTCTAAATAAAGTTAATTTAGTTTAGGTTTCCTCCTGTAGTAACACTGAATTAATAAGAGATGGTCCTTACTGGACCTCTAGGGAGAACAGTTCAGAACTGATAGGGCTATCCAGTATAAATAAAGTTAGTTTATTTTAGGTTTCCTCCTGTAGTAACACTAAACCAATAAGAGATGATCCTTACTGGACCTCTAGGAAGAACAGTTTAGAAACTGATAGAGCTATCCAATATAAATAAAGTTAGTTTAGGTTTCCTCCTGTAGTAACACTGGATCAATGAGAGATGACTCTTATACTGGACCTCTAGGAAGAACACTTTAGAACTGTAAAAACATAAAAACTAACTATATTAAACTAACTTTAAAATAACTATTTAGCTAACTATTAAACTAACTTTATTTATATTGGTAGCTCTATCAGTTCTAAACTGTTCTTCCTAGAGGTTTCCTTCTGTAGTAAGACTGGATCTACAAGAGATGATCCTTACTGGATATCTAGGAAGAATTTAGAACTGATAGAGCTATTCATTAGGTGTCATGACCTTCGCTGAATATAGGAATTAAGAACGTCTACATAAAACTGATAGAGCAATCCAGTATACAGCTATTTCAATTATGGTTTTCCTCAAGCAAAGCGGAAAGGTCGAATACGAGCGCGAAAGGCTGCTGGGAATCGCTAAGCTGGGAATCGCTAATTAATAAATGAATGAATTTATTAGCGATTCCCAACACCCTTTCGCGCTCGTATTCGACTTTTCCGCTTTGCTCGGAGGACAACCTTAATTGAAATAGCTGTATAAAGATAAACGGTTTCGTTCTTGAAGATATTGGTCATTTTATAAACTTTTTAACTTTAAACTTTTTGTGCTCAGATAAAATCACGTTTACACTGACATTATAAATAAGTAAAGTCGCTAAGGAAGTTAAAGCCTAAACACAAAAAAGTTTGAGGAAAGCGTAGTGATGTTACGCCTATAATTTTTCTATAGATGCCTGTGGTGTGTTCGGGGGGGGGGGGTCGAGGAATTTATAACTTGTACCACGCAGGAAGATGGTGTAATCTTAATGACACAGACTCAAGTTGACATAAAGCTAAGGATTACATGAGGAATCGTACCTTGTGAGTTGTGTCCCCTAAAACGTAACTCCACTGGACACAAAAGCAGACAATTTCAAAATGTTTAAGAAAGAAAGATTCCAAAGAAGATATATTTTAATGCGTCATTACGGTTCTGTTCAATTTCTATATATAAATATAACAAGACCAGCTTTCGAGATTGTAATATTCTTATTTTTCGCGCACCCTTTTAAATCTTCTAAGAAAGTCGAGAAGGATGTCAAACCATACTAAAAGGTCAGAGGATGTCATGACTATGGTATTTAGAGAATACTTTTACAGTATTTAGAGCAGGAATATGAATGTTTGAAACCAAAATTGGAATTAAACTCCCCCTCCGACAGGATTTTTAGAGAAATTCTTAAGGTAGGAATCGGTGATATTCTTCTTCGATACATCGGATACAAGAGGTCACAGCTAACTATAAACTACGGATGTCCTTCAAGTGCCGCAAGGCTGACCGCCTTGCAATTTTAAACAATATCAGTTCATTCGTTATTACAAAACCTTAGTAGAATACAAATGCAAGTCATGTTTTTGCTAAGCGACCATCTTGTTTATTTGTGTGAACGCGACGGGGCATTTCATTTGGGCGAAATTGTGTCTGGGATGCAAGATAGATCTGTTCAACGACATTTATAGTTCAATTGTTTCAGTAAATAAACACCATCACTATAGGCAATAGGCATACATCATCAAATGTGGGGTTGGTTGATAGCAGTCTTAAGCTAAGGATTGTTTAGACTATCAGCATGCACAGTAGGAATCTTGCGTGGATAAATTCTAAATTTTGAAGGATTTGTAAGAAATGTTCGAGGGGACTGCATGGCGGCTCATTGTTTAACATTGAATCGGTCACCTCAAATATTTCTTACAAATCCTTCAAAACTTAGAATTTACCTATGCAAAATTCCTACTGTGCTCACAGAAACTTTGACGGTGGCTTTAGTTATAGTGTTCGAGGTTTGACTTCATCAAACACTACGGGTTTTCTCGGAAGGATTTTTTTACGTTTTCGCGGAAAAATTTAAATCTTTCTAAATTTTATATTAGTTTTATATTATTATTATTAATTTTATATTACCCCAACACGTACACTTTAAACAAAACAAACCGTTATGCTTTTATTCATTTAGGGACTGTTTTTATGGAGCCGGGCTGGCCCGGTTAACTAAGTTACTGTGATCACAGTATAGGAATTTGGCATCGGTAAATGGGCGATTCGAGCTATAGACTAAATTTTGATCTACGCAAGAGGAACAAAATCCATCACCACAGCTACAAAGAGCATGTTAAAATTAGTGAAATGGCAAACGGTTTGGCCGCGAAATGTTGCAAAATGCGGAAAATACAGCCCTGCGAAATTTTATATTAATTTGTATTACGCGCGGGAAAATGCACCACATTTGGGCCGAAAGTGGTGCAAATTCCCGTGCGTAATACAAATTAATACAAAGTTAGCAAATTTCGCAGGACTATATATTTTCCTCATTTTACAACATTTCGCGGCCAAACTTTGCAATTTTACTAATTTTAACATGATGCTCTTCCTAGCTATGGTGATGGATTTTGTTCTTCTTATACCTGGATCAAAACTTAGTCTATAGCTGGAACTGCCCATTCCAAGTTTTGAAAGTGATTCGAGGGAGCAACTCATTTCCTCAAACATTTCTCACAAATCCTTCAAAACTTAGAATTTACCTATGCAAAATTCCTACTGTGATCACAGAAAGTTTGATAATGTAAGCCAGACTTTAATTGTTTCATAAGAAAGGTTTTAAACTGTGGGAAAATGGTACTGCAAAGTATCCTCGAAGTTTCTTTGATGAAACCGTGTGACAGTGTACAGCTCTTAACAATGAAGACTCTCAAACACTTAACTCTATATTTAACAAGAAATTCGTATGCATGAATAATTGTGGATGTATGAGGTCTAAACTTTCCCACGGTGTTGCACGTTTCTCATGACGGTTGAGTGCAACCAAGCAGACAAACACGGAATGTTATTTATCGATTGTATCCGATGATTGCAAAACCATTCTTGTATTACCTTGATCCAGAAAATGATATCAAGGATTCGATTGCACATTGCTTTGCTGGTGTTGCACTGATCGATGTTATTGTTATACGGTTGCTGATGCTGCTGTTATTAATATTGTTTGCAGTTTAAAAGTGCATGGGCATATTAGGGACCGGTCATTGTTGATGGCGGGGGATGACACCAAAGAAAAAGGTTTTTCTGGGTAAAATTTTTCCCTTTACCCAACCTCAAATATCAATTAAAAAATAATACCCACCCCTGGCCAAACACGTTACAAAAGGATACCATTCAGTTGTCACACATGTCCTTTACCACTTCTCTGACATGAGTTTGATAACTGTTTGTGCAATTGTTTGCAGTCTAAAGTTTCATGTTGTCTGCACATGTACTTTCTTCGGAGACACCATTTGCCTCCTGACAAATCGGAAAAAAATGATCAAGACAGTGACTCTGATTGATTTACATATTGTGTTGACATACGACTGTTGACATTGCTTTTTAGTTTCAATATTTGAGCGAGTCATGCTTTGGAAATGACAATACATTTTTATTACCCAACCCTTGAGTTGTTTTGTTTTTCATTTACCCAATCTCTTACTCATTCAAAAGTTTGTTTACCCAACAACTCTTTTCTCTTCGGCGCCAGCCCCCGCCATAAATAATAACCGGTCCCTAGACATATGTAAACATGCAATAAACATAAATATAAACTGCAGAACAAAGGCCAGCTTTTGCAAATTTTAATTTTTATCGTATTTACTTTATATTACAACTCAATTTACAAAACTTCAGAAAGACATGCAATATCGACCTACTATTGTAAATCCTTTCAATATAATACTCTCACGTTATTTTATTTAACATTTTTTTAACACAACTGGTGGTCTCAATAAGCGGGCAAAAGTATGTGGAGTGAGGTCAACACCACAATACACTGATCTCAAACTAGCATTGAATTGAGCATCTGCTATAAATGAAGACAATGGATACATTGGGGTGATCGGTAGAAATAAAATCTGGCATGTCAGAAAAGGTCCTTAACGTTTCTGGTGATCGGTAGAAATAAAAAAATACTGCGAAGCTATATCTTTCAAGTTACATAGAAAATATAGTATCAATTATAGCCCCCGTAAGTGTCAATATTTGTGACAGATTTAGAAATCAATGTGACAGAATTAAGAAATCTCTTAATTTGCCTTCAAAATTAATTCTCCGAAACTCAAAGGGTTGATCTATCCAGAACTATAGTTTTGAGATCAGCGCCACAATCTGATACCCACCCTAAGCAAACATGTTTTCGGCGAAAACCTCTTTCCTACATTAACTTCAAAATTTATTCAATTGGATAAAGAATCCTTAATGTGGTGAAATATTTAAATATAAATACTTTTTTAAAATAGCATTTTCTTTTTGAATTTTATATTATATTTACAATATAAAAGTAGATTTGAAATTAATTGAATATGCAGACATATCTTTTCCCGATGTGTCACGTATATAGTCAATCCAAAGTGATGGCGTGTGCTGCTGTTTGACCACGCATGCCCTGACGGTCAAGACCGCTGACGTAATATGGAAGCTGCAAACATGAAAAACAAATTATAGCTACAAACTATCCTGGTGTTTGACAAAAGGTTTTAATATCAATAGGTTTTAATCTTTTCCAGCTCAGACACAAACCGCGACAGCTTGAAATTTTAGAAGTAAACACACATATTATTATTTTTTTGTTACATATTATTAGCACTGATGAAGATCCGGGCTTACGGATCGAAAGCTTTGCAGTAATAAATCTACGTGGTGTTTCCACAAACAAAACTATTATATGTTTTATCGCCATGCAAACGTACAAAGAACTTATTTTTATGTCATTGAGATTTTTGTCGCGGTGTTCAAAACCTAAAATCTTTTTGTGGCGTTCCTCTTGGAATTACTTTGTTTTATCTTTATTTTGTAGTGTACACAGTTAGCAATCTTTTTTTTTAAATGTATCTGACGGTTGAGAAACACAAAATAATAGTTAAATATTGTCAATTTAAATACAATTATCATTGATGCTGTAAAATTGACGCCATATTTATACAGCAATATAAGCGAAACTTACTGAACTTCAGACATCATTTTTTCTTTGGTATACCATCTAAAATCTCTTCATTTTAGCATTATTTTACAGATAAAGCACTAAACATACTTTTTAAGTTTGTTTGCCGATCGAGGAACGTATCAAGAATTAAAAAATTGAATATAGTTATAAGCAAGTGGAAATGTATATTCATTAGTAATTTAGTTTTGAGCGCGTGTTACGCATAGATATCTTATATACACTAGATAGCGCATCTCTTTTAGTAAAATTGAAGCCAATAATATTCCAGCGGTTACCCCCATTTGAATAGATGGCGGCCATGTTGAAGTTTCCCACTCGCTAATAAACGCTTAAAAAACAACAATAACTTTCATCATTTGAATAACTATTTGGAATAAGTTTAACTTAATGTTTAAGTTCCCTGTTTAAGAAATAGAATACATACGAGTCTTCTCATTTCATGGGAATATCCTGTATCTGCAATCACGGCTTCAATTTTTGAATTGCAGAATAATTAGATGCACTATCTAGTGTATATAAGATATGTATGGTGTTACGTAACATACAAATGATTCTCCTCCAAAGAAAGGTGGCAGATCACCTAAATGGCAAGAGAATGCAAGAGATTAATTGTAGTTGTAGCATCAAGTTGAGGAGAACACATTGGAGGACATACAAGGATTCCATACATACCGAGGTCAGGTAAGGCGACAGGCGATGGACTCCCGGTTGGAAAATAATCTGAAAACGTGAATGGCGAGCCTACTGGAGTTGGCACGGCTGCATGGCGAGATGACGAAACCGAAGTGAGAACTGGGATCCTTTAAAAAATATATGTAAGATTAAGCGAAGGAAAGCCATCCTGATGATGATCGATAATGATGATCGATAATAATGATCGATGATGATGATCGATGATGATGATAATCGATGATAACGATATCATCGATAATAATCGATGATGACAATAATCGATGATAATGATCATCGATAATGATCGATGATGATCACATCATCCCGTTTGTCCCCTCAAGGGTTAATGTCGCCTTTCTCCACTCTATTCTGTCATCAACTTTACCCGAGTCCAATTTAATTCGCTGGTACTTGAAGTCATGACAAGCTGAAATTTTTAGCCCGGTCTTGCACTCGGACAATATACCAAATAGACAAAGCTTGCAAGCCTTTGCCCACCACTCAACTCAAAGCGCCCTTGAAGCTTCGACCTTCCACATTCTTTGCATACTCCCTTCGCAAACCAATTAATAGCCGGAGCCTCAGTATAGAGCAAAACAGTATTGGCCATACCCAAATCATTAGTAGCCAGGACTTTAAACAGATACCTGAAGGGCTGAACAGATATATTTTTTCACTATGAAACGTAGAAACAGTTAAGTCTAACCTTGATGATAATGGTTGTTCATATTTACAGTCATCCTCGTCGTCTTCGTCGCCGCTACTCAATGTGAGATCAATGACAGGGGGATTTGCCTTGTTTCTGGACTCTAAATCAACATCATCGTAATTCGATATTATGAAAAAAGAGTGGCAGGCCAGAGTCACCACAACAGTATGAAACCAATTACGGTGGGCCCTATTTTACAAATACTATTATACAATTACATTAACCATAATTAATGAATTAATTACACTAACCATCTTCCTAGAGCTTCGTGTTTACTGTATCGAAGGGAAAATGGCTATGAAACTCACTACTGCCACATGACCAGGACATGAAATAGCAGTCTACCAATTTTTAATAGATGGCGGGTGAAAATAATTGTGCCAAGTCAAGAATGCAATGACAGGCAAAATTCTATAGCCAAGAAAACAAGCCATATTTTTTCTTTCTTTTTCAAGCTCTGAATATGATTTAGTTCTCCGTATAACTCTTTACAAAGGCCTCAAGATGTCAAAGAGCTTATACCATGTGTTCTACTTACTCTCTTCTTCAATAATCCTCGGTTTTTCGATTTTGACTTTAGGGCTGGAAATCACAGTCATTTTCGTTGCCGCATCTAGACAACGTTGTCAAATGAAAGGGAAAATAGTTAGATGACAAACTGATTACACGTCTAGCAATCCAGGTCGACTATTCCAGCTTTTAGTCGCATAGTGCAGAGGGGGGAGTAAGGTATCATATTGCTGATTATGCTGAAAAAATAAAAATGGTGGCCGTACGGAGTGTTTAACACGGAGTGATAGCTTATACTTGTAAATATTGAAATGCTTCGGCAGTTTTTATTGAAATGTTTCAGCATAATCAGCAATATGATATTGATGCCTTACTTCTCGTTACCCCTTGCGCGCATAAATTAAAAGCTGGAATTGCCTATTGTCGTCACCATTGTGTTATTCAATTTCTATGTCAGGGTTCGTAGTCTCCAAGATCAAAAAAATTCAAAGACATTCAAAGATTTTTTCTGCCTATTTTCAAAGACTTTTCAAAGACCTTTGAGAGCAATCAGCTGTCGAAAAATTGCGAGTGTAAGCACCATTTTTACACCCAGTAATGGTGTAAAAAGTTCCGGTGCAGCGCTCTAACCAACTGAGTTACAGAGGCCAGTTGTCGAGCTCTGTAACCACAAGTTCATGCATGTATATATACTAGGGTACTGTCATCTCACTCGAGAATAATAGTTGAAGGGTCTTCTCCACCCTATAATTTCCATCTACAGGGTGATTAAAAAAAATGTACATCCTTTCAAATTCAAATTAACCGTAACCTATTGTAGTAATTTGACAGCCGTATAATTTCTCGAATTAATGAATGCGTGAAAACACAAGGTCTTCTGCACATGGGAATTTAGGATAACTTCTATTTGTATGAACAAATACACAACTCAAAGAAAAATGTTTAAATTAAGCATTATTCAAGTCTGCATAAGATATAAAATGGGCCAGCTTACTGCAGAGCAACGAATATTTAAAAGGTTATGGCTATTAATTTGAATTTAAAAGGGTGTACATTTTTTTTATACACTCTGTACAAGACACTGTTAGTCAACTTTGTCTACAATCTTTCCTCTGAATCTTTCGATCTCATATGAATATATGATAAAGTGATCTAGAGTTATTTCAGTTGAGTTTTTGAATTTTACCACATGGTAGCATTTTGTTGAAAACTTAAATGTGTCGCCGCCTTTTTATTGGCTAAAACAAAACTGTGAACTAACCATTGGCGCCAATCGCTTCCCATGAGCCATCTTCGAAGAACACAATGTCGTTATTTTGAGGAGACTCCTCGAGAATTTCCATAAATAAACTGAGATACAAAAACAACCAATTAACAGTGCGTTAATTGAATTGATCATTCTAAAAAGTCAGCAATTCTTCAACTTCTACAGATGGCCGGATTTTGAGGTGAGGTGTGGTGTGGCCCGTGTGGGGAGATCGTTTTGAAACCTCCCATGAGAATTTTTGCACCTCCCCTGAAAAGTCATGCACCTCCCATTGAGAAAGTTTCAATGCATGATAGATCAAAGTGAAAATTTGACATTTTTGGTTGCTTAGGGTCTACACTTCGTAAACAAGTTTTCTGTAAAATTGAAACAGTGATAGCCATTCATCTTTGTGTCACGTACCCTTCTAATGCAATGTTTTGAAAGAAACTTTGTAGTAATTGTAATGAAGGGCGAAATTGGATGAGTTGTACAGTCATAATTCATTAACACACTGAGATACATATGTACACTACATGCATACGTCACGTCGTTGACTTTGTCCCGTTCTAAGCCCTAACTTTCCATGGGGGCCGTGAGCTAGACCGGTGCACCTGCCCTAAATTTTTTCCACCTCCCCCACTAGTTCCACCAAAATCCGGCCTTGGTCTCGCGTATGGTAGAACGATACGCTCACATACCCATCAATGATTAGATCAATGAACCTCGCTTCTTGGTCACATACAGGGCAAATCCATCTGCTCTTCCTGAAAAAAAATTGTAGTAAAATAGATATCAGAATATCGGCCAACTTAGAGTACAACTTATATGTTATCACGCTGGATCCAAAATAAAATAAAAGCATAAACACCGATACATGTCATGATGAAAATCTTCTATAAAACTAACCTCTCGTTCATTTGTAGGTACAATGCTGCATCAAAACACTGGAGGTGATTACAATTCCTTGATCTATACAGTAAATAAATTTTTTATACAATTTAGATTTTAAATTTTTATATACAGCTATATAACTTATAGAGCTATCCAGATTTTCTTTTCTATTCAAAATCTAAATTTTTATATACAGCTATATAACTTATAGAGCTTATTCAGATTTTATTTTCTATTCAAAATCTAAATTTTTAGACAATTTAGAACTTATAGAGCTATTCAGATTTTATAATCTTTTCAAAATCTAAATTTTTATACAATTTAGAACTTATAAAGATATACAGATTTTATAATCTATTCAAAATCTAAATTTTTATACAATTTAGAACTTATATAGCTATTCAGATTGTATAATCTATTCAAAATCTAAATTTTTATACAATTTAGAACTTATAGAGCTATTCAAAGGCAGGTCAGTAATGTCAATTAATGAAAATAAACCTGCATGGCTGCGTCATTCTGGTCTTTCCAAGCTGAAGTAAATAAAAACAAACAGTTTTCACTCTGAAACAGCACGACACTATGACTATGTGCACACGGTAACGTTTCCGAGCGTTTCTAAAACGTCGTTTCCAATTTTGTCAGTTTGTCGCTCTGTCCACACGGAAACGTTTTCACGAGATGCAAATGTTTGTCTCGATAAAAATTCCATCTCTAGCGGCTTGTTATTGCCATTCATTTTCCACCAGATAAAGTCATTACTTGTCAACGAGTTTCTTAAAATGTCCTCTGCTCATTATCATAAAGTAAACAGTTTTATATGTACTGTTTAGCATCACCGATACGAAGTCTGTCAATGATGTCTTCGAAAGCAAACCGCATTTTAAATCGTTCATAAATCATTATACATTTGAAAGGCTATATATTTTGTTTTATTTGTTGCTAAAGTTTTTAACTTAAGAATTAATGATCCAATGAAAGATCTTAAGCTTCCAGGAAACAAAAATATAACATTTTGATTTTAAGCCGCCATCTTGGATTTTTAGCGTTTCAACGTGAAAACGCTTGTCCGAAAACGTTTTTAGCATTGAGAACGTTTTCGTCATAAGATGTCGTTTTCATCCGTTTTCGTGTGGACACGGCTTGAAAACGACACTTTTTGAAAACGTTACAGCTGAAAACGCTCGAAAACGTTACCGTGTGCACATAGTCTATGTCTATGATATGAGCAAGGTGACACGTGACGTGACGCCAGCACAGGCGGCCGTGTGCCGCCTTGCTCTGTAAAATTATATGATTTTGTCATTGCTTCTTTGGATTTGTAAACAAAATATACAACGAATTGGTAGATAAAGTCGACGTCTTGGAAAATCTGTGGTATTTTTCAAATTATCTTGGTAATTTATTGAGTAATTGGTGGATTTGTGCTTATTTTTGTACCGAATCTGACATTTCTCGTTGCCTTTTCCGCTCGCGCAAGCTAAACGGACGGTTAATCTCACGAGTGCAAACGAACACGCCAACACGCGCGCTTAATTAAGCGCGCGCGCTAATTAATAAGAACAAAATTAATACAATTCCTAATCCTATTAGAAATGATTTTCCCAAAATTCATCTACGTTATTGTTTTTCTATGGTTGGTTGTAGGTGGAATAAAAAATACGAAAGAAACCAAGATTAATTTGTTCTATGCCTCAACGAAAATGCTTGGAACACCGTATTCTTATCGACTTCGTCGTGTTAAGAGACATGTAACTTTGCTCTCGGTTCATCGTTTTGTGCACGGTCTGTTATTGTTACAGAGATCGTCTTTGCCTTTGCTGTTAATTCTTTTAGCTAACGATGTGGAATTAAATCCTGGTCCAGTTATTTCATCTGAGCATCTCGAACACGGTTCATCCGTCGTAAATAATCGAAGCAACACCATCGCGACTGAACGTAAGACATTTCGCTGTTTGAGCTGGAATACGCGAAGTTTGTTTAGTTTACATAGAACATCTGATGGAGATATGATATCAAATAATTCAAGTCTTCAAGATTTTGTATACTCGGAGCAAATAGACATCGTTTTCCTCACTGAAACGTGGCTGTCCGATAAACACTTTGATGCAGAAATTTTACGTCAAGATTATAACGTTTTCCGTGTCGACCGTAAATGTAAAACCGGCGGTGGCGTACTAATAGCTACAAAAGAGTCTTCTTTTACAGAAACCAAGCAAGTATGCTTTAATCAATTAGATACTGAACTAGAAATCGTCTGCGTTGAATGCGCCACTAACAATGCGCGAATCCTTGTTGTCTGCTGCTACAGAGCTCCTGACTCCTCGTCAAAATGGCTTCTCTCCTTTAAAAAGTTCTTAGATTACATCATGGACACTTACGATAAAATTATAATGACTGGTGATTTCAACTTCCCGCGAATCTCGTGGTCTGAAAGCATGGTTATCCCAACCGGTGAATCCGAGAGATTTTTCTACAACACCTTATCTGACCATTACTTAAGTCAATTGATCTTCGCTCCAACAAGAGAAACTAACGTTCTTGATCTTATCATGACAAACATTCCAGACAACGTTAACAACATTGAAGTAATTGATCCAACCAATTTCAATTTGTTTTCCGACCACAAGTGCATACTCTTTGAGTTTCAAAGTACAGCAACACCTTCCCACAAGCTCAAAAGATCGGTTTACGATTACAACCGTGCGGATTTTGAAAAAATGAACCGTACTTTTGAATCGATTGAATTTGAATTTAGCGATCCCACATCGATGTCCGACATTAACGAGAACTGGAATTTATGGAGAGACACTTTCCTTGCTGTAGCTGACGAATGTATTCCAACAAAGATTGTAAAAGGAAGGTACAATCCACCATGGTTGACCGGTGAGATAAAATCTTTGATCAAAAAGAAAGAAACACTACGGCGAAAAATCCGTCGCGGAACAAATTCTGCTGCACTTGTACAAAAATACAAGAATCTCCGCCGTACATCTAAGAGATTAATCAAAGAAAGTCGGGAAAAGTTCTTTGGTTCCCTAAGCGAAGCTCTACCATCCAATCCGAAACTGTTCTGGTCATTTTTTAAAACAACCACTAAATCCAGCCGTATTCTACAGCAAGTTTCCGTCGCGACAGGCAACGAAGACTCCCCACGCTTAGATTCCACTAGTCAAAAACAAGCTGCAGAAATGTTCAATGACTACTTCCACTCAGTATTTCTAACAGAAGGTGATGATATTTCAATCCCCACTACACCTGTATGTGAAGAGACCATTTCTGACATTATTTTAGCCCCAAGTGAAGTATATGACGTTCTTCATTGCCTCGATCCTAGTAAAGCATCTGGTCCAGATAATATACCAATCCGCTTACTAAAAGAATGTGCGCACTCCATCACTAACATGTCTCTTCAACAAATCCTTAAAGCATGCCTCCCTACCATCAGAATGGAAACTGTCCAACATCATCCCGCTTCATAAAAAAGGAATCAAGAGTTTTGTTGGGAATTACAGACCAATTTCCCTCATGTGCGTTGTTGCGAAAGTTTTAGAACGTTGTGTTTACAACCGTCTGATTGGTCATATAGAGAACATGATATCCGTCGCACAGCATGGTTTTCTGAGAGGAAAGTCTTGCACAGGTCAGCTCATTTCCGTTCTTCACCGCATCAGCCAAAACCTGGATTCAGGGAAACAAACAGATATCTTGTATTTCGATGTTGCTAAAGCGTTTGACACGGTGAATCATAGCCTTCTTTTAAAG